ATGGAATAAGAAAAAACCTAAAAAATGAAGCAGGGATATATGATATATTGATAGGAAGCTTAGATTACTCGGCCAAGATCTCAAATTTGAGAATTTCAACGGTTCTGATTGAAATTTTGACTTCACCAGGGATATACAAGGCAATTCAGCTATGGAGATATTGTTGTTGTCGCTTATCCATCTGACGACTGGTCAATAAAAAAGGACCGAAACTATCAAAAGAAAATGGCGGGTACTCTGTCTTCTTCGACTCTCCATTGCCAAACTTATCTAGTTTTCGGTTCCCAGAATCCATGGAGAGCCCTGGATTCTTCTTTCCTCATAAAAATGGGGAAACGAGCTCTTATCCGTTGCACCGCCAAGAAGAAAATCGGATTCATGGATCAAATTCTCGATTATATTGAAGGTTTTTTAAGTGTTCGTTTTTCTACAATGTGCTTTAGACTAGATACTTACTTTCACGATATTGATTTGTTTGGGATTTTGCATTGGTTTACAGGGGGTCCAAAGTTAAGAAGATGGTATGGAGACCTGAACTACTGCCAAAAGATGGATCAGTCGTGTAAGATCAGGATGAGGAGGAGGATTATCCCGGTAATTCGTTATGGGAACTGGAAATATAATATCAGTATGTTTAGTTCTTGGAGAGGAAGAACCATTGATGAACTATTACTCTTTGAATTTTCAGAGGATGAAATCAAGGATGCAGTTTTAGTAACAGATGGGGATAGTGAAATTGGCCAGGCAAGTTATCTTTTCTCATATATATCATATTCCAGATCGTGGATATTGAGATTCAAACCACTTAACCGGGCATGAATATGTAGTGCTGAGCCTGGATAATTTTCTTATAGTCTCATGACATCCTACTGGTAAGTGGTAACTATTTTATCTGTGTAGATGGTGATATTGTCATTGATTGTCAAACGAATTAAAGTAAAAGCATTAGTGAAGGATAAGCGTTCAGCTAAAGAAGCCTTTGGAACTTATGTTGAGGTGACTTCATATATCCTAAATGAAGTGGCCTCTCGAAGGGTATTTTTATATATGATTCATGTCATCAGTTTATTTAAATAAATCTTTTTTTCTTATATATGGATTGCTGTTCTGCTGTGTCTGCAGTCAATATCCGGAGATACAAGTAACAAGATACTTGTAAAGAAAGCTCTTCGAGGAGTTCGTGCAATCATATGCCCAAATGTATGTGAATTCCTGCTAAATCAGCATATCAATGTATCTATAGCCAGTTTTTGCATCCTTTCCAGTAAAATACTAAATGTTACGTGCATCCATAGTTACTAGGATCTTAAAAACAGGAAGAAAAAACATGAAGGATAACTGGAGAATCAACTACTCAACGTGGTTGTCTAAAAGTTAAACTTGCAGATTTTTCATGCTGCAATGTGGGACTCAACCTGAAATTTGTGGGGAAATTTAAAGAAATTTAAACAAAATAAAGATTATAATTGCCCTAAGATAATGAAAACAAATTATTGCATAGTCGTTTTTGACAGTTTATATCATGCATCCATTCCGTTCTAATGCTTTGGCATTGCTAGTTTTGCTCTGGTCGCCGTTAGACCTTAGCAAATTTTGTTTTTCTTGTCTTGCAGGAAGGTTTCTTATCAAGTGTGGAGATCTTTAAAGGTGTTGAACATATAGTTCTCTTGTCTCAGGTACTCTCTTTCGCTCCCTCTCTTCCCTGATATGCAAAAGAAAGGCTTTAGACTGTTTCTACGTGATTGTGGTTTACAAAGGTTGCAGTTGTCTGCTTATAGAGCTAGCAGTGGCATTCAAGCTATCATGACAAGCAATCAAAGGAAGTTAGCTGAGAAAGATGAATCAGCACTGATAGCTTCACGAATTCCATATACCATAATTAGAGCAGGAAAGTTGCAAAACATTCCTGGTGGTACACAAGGTTTCAACTTTGAAGAGGTATATCATTTTATTTTTTTAATAGACCAAGCATGCTATTTACATTATGGTAATCCTCCTTAGTCTTGTTGCAGTTAACTAGAAAGTTGAACAACATATACAACAATGGTCAGTGGACGAAAAAGCATGGCCATTTGTTTTAGTAACTTAGCCTATGTTTTTGTGACTTGTTCCTGGAAGGAGGCAATTCTGAGAAACGTAAAATGGTGCTTGAAATCGAGACAATTCAATGTCAAATATTATATCATCTCGATTCATCCTTTATTACTGACCAAAAAAAAAAGAAGAGAAACTTTAAAAGGTTTCTCAGATGCTCTTATCAATCACTCAATTAAGATTGGTTCTTGATTCTTTGAATTCTACAAACTGACATAAATATGTTTGCCGACTTTGAGAGCACAAAAAGCAACCTTATTCGTTGTAATAGATTCTAACAATTCCTACAAATGCCACCACCGTCAGGGTTGTGCAGTAACTGGAAGCCTCAGCATGGAGGATGCTGCATTGGTATGTGTGGAAGCGCTTGAAGTAGTTCCAGAAGCAAGATTCACATTTGAGGTCTGTGAATAATCATGTATGCATCTATTAAGGGAGGAAAGCACACATGCAATATCTAATTATTCTCTGTATAATTCATCCCACTGCTACTTTCTAGTAAAAAGTTCAAGGCCGCTCAGCAATTTTTCATTCTTTTATTCCTAGATTAAAAGACAGGACTAGTTTGAGCTATCTATCTTGGTATTCTATAGCAATTAGTGGTGTAAAAGTTATCCTTTGCCATTCAAATGCCGAAATTCTAACTTGCTTTTGTGGAGTATCGAGTTTATGTTTTTTGAATTTGAGGTAAGAATATGATATCTGCTTTTTCCTATGTTTTCCTTGTATTTAGAAGATAATTCCCTCATACCCCATATCCAAATGTGTCGGACACATGCCAGAATATGAGTATGAACTATGAAGAGAAAATAAAGAGTTCGTGTAACATAGACTTTTAGTTTAAAAATTACTTGGAAACAAATATATATGTATACAGCATGGTGTCTGAATTGACACGGAAACGAAGAATATTTGTACAAGGTGAAGTAGAACCGTTCAAAAGGCAATGCAAGAAAAGCAATGGAACAAATAAGTAAGTTATTCATGCACAAACATTTTAGTTTCAAAGCACCTTTTTTTCTCTCTCTCTCTTTTGTGTTCTCTTTTCCATTTGTCTTATATTCCTTTCCATCCTTTGGTTTCAATCAGTTATTGATATCTACAACTTTACTGTGAGAAAAATAGGTTGTCAATGGAGGAGAGAAGGTTTCAGATTGGAAAGAGTTTTTGACCAGACTGATGGAGAAAACAGAGCAGTAGCTGCCATGATCCAAGCAAAAAACAAAGACAATGTGCACCCATTTGTTAGTTCTTTTCCAATGATGTCTTCAGATAGTTGGTCATTATTAAAATCCACTTGCCTGCAATTGAACTGCAAAAGTTTCTATCGAAGTTTGGTCATATTTTTAGTTTTCATACCGGTATAAATGCCTGACTTTGAGGGCAAACTGTAAGTTTTCAACTACAGCAGCTATGATAAATTTCATGGGAGTTTAATGTTTCAACATGTTTTTCATTTTTCTGCTACAACTTTAAGCTTGAAACTTAAGATTTAATTGAAATATAAATCTTTGTTCTCTATGAGATTTTTCAATTAGAATTCTCTCAAGTTTCAGCAATTATGTTTCTTTTTCTTAGAAATTCTTCTGGGATGTTGAAATAGTCGATACAGTCCATATGTGAGGGTGTTGTTGCATGGTAAAAGAAAATTTCAAGCATGATGTTGGGGCAGCAATGGACATGATCTGGGGTAGATCTAAACGTTAAGAATTGCTTTAATATTATTAAAAAAAACTTATCCGGTTCCAATAATGTAATATGTCAACATGTAACAAATATGATCTCTTCTTTTAGTGCAATAAATAAATAAATAAATAAATGGAAGAGAACATAAACATAAAAAGGATACAATGGAATACGGACACAATCTTACATTCTTTGTTGTGTGATTTCTCCACTTCATGTGGAGAGTTGACTTGTCCATACCACATACATCTTCAATTGTTATGTGAAGACTAAACTTTTATTGTTTAATAAAAAATTCAGCTTAAGCGAACCGGATTTAGATTAATATATACATTATACATAACATGGTCAGCACTTCCAAAGCAAAAAATCATGAACCCCGTGCCTAATATATATATATATATTTAAGAGACTTTTTTCCATCTCCTCACATCCTATCCTTTCCAAAAGGCCCTTTAGATTCCTTATGTTCTCTTTCACAAAGCAGAAAAATTAGAAAACTGTGTTATCTTTGGAATATAATTTATTCAGTGCTAATCAGCCTAATTTTTCTTTTAAATATAGCCCCAGATGTAGTAATCTAAGGTTTAGGAATAAAGATAAACATATCTGTGATCCACTATCTAAAACCCCTCCTTTTAAATATGACCAGAAAGGCTTAACCCATTATTGTTATGAAGATGCCAGGAAAAAGAGAGGAGTTTTTCACATTTATTATGTTCATGAATGTTAAATACGAGTGCTGATGAAAGTCCGTGTATCCATGGGAAAAGAATCATGAATCTAAACTTAAAGAACCTACCAAAAAGGGGTTATAAAAACAGTATACACCAACCCTTTACTTGCAGAAGCAATCAAGAATCTCTTTTGAGAAACATGGGAGGAGAATAAAGTGTGGTTGTTGAAAGTGCCCATCAAAGGCAGATCAACTCTCTTAATAAATGAAAATAAAAGATCATTGGAAACTAGAATATGCTTTTAGAACTGTGTTTAGTGACGGTTAAGCAATCACACCAGCCTCGTTAAACAAACAATTAAAAATGCAGACCAAGTATAGATAAGATTACTGCCTCATTTATTAAACAAAAAAGGGAAGAAAAGTCACTGATGTTAATCAAGTAATGGTTTGATTTCAGACAAGACAACATACTTGTACATCACTACAATGAAATATTTTATAGGATGTTGTTTCAATCTAAAAAATGGGGGTGTGACTGAGGATTATGTTGAAACTTCAAGATCTCAGACACATTTCATGTACTATCAATCTTTCTTTTCTTTTACTACAATATCAAAATGCTCCCCTTATTCCACAGTGAAAAATAATTTAATTTATAAAAAAAGGCTTAGCTTGATCAAATTTAACCAGATCTAATTCTCTTCTGAGTAGCTTTTTCTTCAGGCTCGGCTGAATCGCCTTCCGATGAAACCTCCATCGACCTGCTGAACGAGCTGGAGAGATTGGCATAGAGATCGACAACTCTTCTAATATTGTTGTTCAACTCTTTAATTAATCCAACATTCCGGCTCAAGTTATCTGGGATCTTTGACTCGTGGTTTTGGTTAATCTCGTTGATTAGCAGCCTGTTTTGGTCTAGTATGTCTTGAACTTGCACAAAACTCTTTTGGAATGTTTCCAAAACCTTGCCATCTACTTGAGTTTCATTACCGAACCCTGGATATATACCACCTTCCATTCCACAGTTCAATCAAAACCAGACTTATTCCTACATAACAACAACAATAATAATGGACATCCAAATTAAGGAAAAAAAGTTAGTGGCACTCATTATTGTAAGAAAATAATAAAAATGCAACATGGAAAGGCATGGAACAATATGGTCTCTATTTGATTGTGAAGAAAATGAATGCAAAAGAAAGATAAACTAAAGTTTTAAGACAATATATTTCTAATTTGTATTACAGAAGGCAGAACATCTCTCACCGAAGGAAGTTGAGTCAGAGAGTTTAACAGTTTGGCTTAGATAAAATTACTGCTTAAAGATTTTCCTTTGCATTTCTCCACATTGCTTAGCAACCTAGCAGAAATTAAGAGTGTGTGCGGTTAAGAGACAATGTATTGAGAAAAAAAAAACACAATAATATGGTTTTAATTGTGTTTGAAACGGGGAAAAACACTGCTTTTCCCATAGAAAGAAACTTTTTAAACCAAACCCCCACGAAATCATATATCCAAATCTAGGAAGACATCATAAAAGATGAAATGGAATGGAGACAAAAAAAAAAGAACAAATTTTGGTTTAAAATACTAAAATAGGGAAGAGTAAGGAAGTAGGAAGCAATTCCTTTGGCTGTTGTTCCAAATATAGAGTTACAAAGAGATATACTCATTTCCCTCAAAAACGATGGAAATTGGAAAAAGAACTTAAAAAACAGGTAAATGTATAGTTATTTTATCAACCCAAAAAAATACCACTAAAACAACACAAGTATGGCATAAAAAAAATCTGGGTTGATATGCATTTTCGATTTCTTACCTTGAAACCACAAGACATGACGAGCGAGAAGACAAAGTGAAGGATTAGAAGAAAAAAACAGCAGAATTGGAATCTATTTTCAGCAAAAATATGGGATTTGGATTTATTTTTTCCTCTGACCAGAAATAAAGAAAATATCGGAACGGATAATTGTAATGCTTCTGGAGATGGGTGAGCGAGCGAGAGAGAGAGGTTAGATTGGACTCAATTCAACAGACAGAGATCCTGAAATCATGAAAACAAGAAAGAAAGAGAATATAAGAATGAAAGGTTTTATGATTTGATTAACATGCTCTAATTAAAGACACAACTATTAACGTTTTTGTTGCTTCCCCCCCCCCCCTCTCTCTCTCTCTCTCTCTCTAAGACAGTCCATCTGTTTTGTCTCTTTCTCTAGATTTTAAAGAGAGGCAAGCCTAAGGCGGCAAAATGCCACCAAATAATCCACTTTAGATTAATTTATTACCCAAATAATACATCCTAGGGATTATTTCCCCATCTGGGATGAAGTCTGCATTATTAAGTTAAAAACTCTAATCTTATTTGACGTCTTAAGGTCAGAGAGGAAGACTCCAAATTTATTTAACGTTTTCAATCCATGCAGAAGACACGTTGACTGCATTGCGTCTTCAGGGTGGTAGGTTACCTCCGATTAAAAAACAAGTAAATAATAATGATATCATTAATTATCCATTAATAATCCGGGTAGGTTGGTGGTTGGTGATTGAACGGGAAAATATAATGAATACCCCAGGATATTATAAAATAGGGTGTTTTGGTTAAGAATCGGGGAGTAAAGCAGTGGTGAGGAAAGTGGAAAAGAGGTAAAATCTAGAGAAGAATTGAAACACTGAGTATTCGGGAAGAATATTAGAAAAAATTTTGAACGAAATTTTCTTTCAATCTTTAATATGTAAGTATTATTCGAATAAAATTTTATTCATATTTGAATAAAATATCTCTATTTTATCTCGTATTATTTAATATTAAAATACTAATTTTAATATGTTGTTGCATGTAAAAACAAGTGAGTAAGAAATTCGAAAATATTTTTTTACAACATCTACATGTTGGAAGAAACTCTCAAGTAAGTATAAAAATATTTTGTTTAATGTATTTTACGATTTATTGTTAGTTACATATTAATTTAGTAAATATCAGTTTACGATTTATTATTATGTAAATATCATTATTATAATTTTAACATTATTGATTTAGTATTTGTAGTAGAAATGTTAAGATAATTAGATGAACATATTTGATTTAGTATTTGTAGTATAAATGTTAAAAAATATAATTATAATTATGAAAAATAATATTTATTATAATTACGAAAAATAATAATTATATTTAATAACTCCAATAGTATTTAATCATTATTATAATGTAATCATAAATAGTTATAAAAAATTCAAAGTAATAAATTTAATCATTGTTATAATGTAATCAAAGTATTTAATCATTATTTTTATAAAAATATATTGTTAATATATTTACCTTTTTTGCAAGGTTAAATAATATTTTAGTAATTAATTTAATTTAATTTTTATTTACTAGTATAATTTTACATTTTTACCTTACAAATCATTAGTATAATTTGAATAAGATTGAGTTAGTATTTGTAGTAAAAATGCTAAAATAATTAGATCAACATTTGATTTAGTATTTCTAGTAAAAATGTTAAAAAAAATATTGTTAATATATATACATTTTTATAAAAAATATTGTTAATATATTTATTTTTAAAAAACTTTAATAATATTTATTATAATTAAATTAATAATATATTAGTAATTAATTTATTTTTATTTGAATCATAAATGTAATTTATCGTCATTACTATAATTTATTTTAATTTATTTTTTACCTTACAAATAATTAGTATAATTTTAATAATATTGATTTAGTATTTATAGTAAGAATGTTAAAAATAATAATTTTAATTTTAATAATAATAATAACTTTAATCTAATATATATAATATGTTAGAAATTGTTTGTTTATGTATTTTTTATTTATTCTAAACATATATATTTTTATGTGTAGAGAAAATGAGCAACAAAATTTTCACGATTGTCCATGACAATGGATAATTTACGGAAAATGAGGTTGGAGTTATTTTCAGTCTGAATGACCTATAAATATGATATTTAAAAGGGACATCACATTTGAAGAAGTGAAGGAGATGATAGAAAGGAAAATACGAACTACAATTGATGGTTGAGGTACAAGTTTATGGTATATCATAATCTAGTCAGGTATGATGCAATACCACTTGAAGAAGAAGATGATATTACAACTATAATTGAATTACATGACTCAACAAGTATTCCAATTATTGATTTATTTGTTGAGGTGTGTAATATATCTGATATGCCTTTCGAAAGTCACATATATGCTATAAACAGTTACGTGGCGATGTTGGAAAGTGAAAATGAAGTCAGTGAAACATCTGGAGCCGCAGAGTATGGGGCAAGAAGCATATACATCATCTGCATTCGACTATTGGTGTTGACGTTGAAAACCACTGGGGAAAAATACTTGATGATTCTAGTGAAAATGAAGAAACTAAGAAACTCGTTTTGGTTGAGGATAACGATATTTTCGATGGTGATAAACATGATATGACCACTTATGAATATCTGACACCGTATCAACCTACCCCTCACATGCATGAGATAGAATATGATGCGGTGATGACACCTGAATTCTCAGAGATGCCACATTTAACTTCAGGCTACATGACTGAATCGTCCAAAAACTCTGGTGAATTATCAGTTGGGAAACAATTTAGAGGAAAAAAAAGAAGTTACACTGGCGATTAAAGTGTATTGCATAAAAGGTCATGTAGATTGCAAGGTTGCAGAGTCCAACCATAAAACTCTGTACACTAGTAATCTTATTTCTATTTGAACGAATAATTGAATTTCTTGCCTATTTGTATTTCAATTAATGTTTTGTTTTATCTATTTTTTTGAATAAATATGATGAATATTTGTTGATGTTATATTTTAATGAATGCGATTAATATCAATATTTGAATTAATGTAATTAATATCAATATTTGAATGAATGTGATGGATATTAATCTTAGTTTCAACTTAAAATTTATTAATTAAAACATATAAAGCGTTTACAACTCCTATCGCTGTCGGGATGTTATTAAATAATAAAGTCGAGGCGCACGTCGATTTCGTTGTGGCTGTTGCAGTTGTTCAGGAGTTTATTCATCATAATCAACCTGCTCATTCACCAAGGGCATATGATACAGTGTTGTAAATACATGTCCACCGCCACTTTGCTCTCCCATAGGATGACAAATACTCGTATTTGACATCATAGATGTCATATGATCAAAATCATATATTGTTCCAGACATGGGAGAGAACATGGGTGATTGATCAGAAATAAGATCAGGTATATAGGCCGTAACACCAGAATCACCAAACACTTGATGAAATAATCACGTACTGCCAAAAGATTTTGATAGGATATTATTCATTGCCGCTTGTTCTCCTTCACAGTGAGATGAATTATTACTCCCACTCCGTCTTTATTTTTCGGCTTTACCAACTTTTTTCTTATATTTTATAAGTTTTCGTATTTCTATGTTCGTTGTCAAGAACGACTTTCCATGCTCCCAATAATAATTCAGGTAATTCGAATTCTGAAAGTCAAAGTCATCCGCTTGAATGAGAGTGAGAGTTGGCAAGTATGAAACCATATTATTCCAAATATTGATATAATTAGCATGCCTCAAAGCTCAATCCTCACCGTGCCTACCCCTCCCATCTAATCTGTGTAGAGCGTCATGATTTTCTGGAATCTACGGAAGAGGTTGGTGGAAGTCGAACTGCCTCAACACTCTATCAGAAAATTGAAACTCAACAAAAGTGAAATGGATCAATGGTGTAATAGCACACCAACATTGACAACCCTCCCAGACATGTTACGGCACACACGATATAATTTCTCCATCATCGTACGACCTCCAAATAAACTATAAAACAAAATTATATAATTATTAAATAATTAAATAATTATAAAATTCAAATAAATAAATAATATTAGAAACTAAATAAATAAATTATATATATACATCAACTTTGTATTTAATGTCCATCTTAAATCTAAATTATTTCACATTATTGTGCATCAACCTCGTTCCTTCTATTTTATGTCTCCATCTGTATACCAATCAAAATAAAATTCGCTAATTATTTTTCCTATAAAAAAGTTCGTTAATTAATTTAAGATAAAATATATTAAATCAAAATATTACCTTTCGGCAAGAAGAAAGTCAAATACAGTTCGGCTAATTAGCGTTAACCATGGAAGTCTGTATTAGGCTCACGATTGTAATAACATTAGACATCCATCGATTTCCATCATACACGTATTGTTTACAAGTAATGACGCCTTGCACATCTCGCAGTACAAGAAAGCCAATATTGATGATCCCCAACTATACTGACGGGTATTCAAAAAGTTATAAAAAAAATGGAAGATATTGTATATGAACAAGATTACCGGATTTATCCGGCATCAAAACTCTCCCGATCAACTGTAATATATATGCTCGAGTTGCATATATAATGTCTTGCTCAGTACTATAACGACCGAGCTTAAACTCATTCTCCAACCATGATAACCTCAAACATGACCCTTTTGTAACTATTTTTTCTTGCACTTTCCCAAGGTACACCCCACACATTTGAAACACGTCATGATCATTTTTTTCCCACCACTATCATCCTATTTTTAGGGATCTCGAGTTGTAAAGCCACATCCTCCAAAGTGATCGTACATTCACCACACAGAAGATGAAATATATGAGTTTTTGGCCTCCACCGTTCAATTAATGCACTGGTCAAATCGGGGACCAACTTATATTCTCTTACAAATGTTACATCGTAAAAGCCCATCATTTGCAAATTATGGACAATAAGATCATGTGGCTTGTAATACCCCCAACTCGTACCCTACCCGGATACGAGTCTGAGATGTCACATTGACTATTTGAAACAATATTCTTACAAGATAATAGAACATTTGGACTTATATTAAGAAAATACAATAATATACTATTGAATTATGTTTCATGAAAAATATTAAGGCAAAAACGTTTTTTATGAACAGTAATATACGGTATGAACATTACCGTGAATAGTACCATGAATAGTGCTACAGTATATGATGCACTGCTACAGTGTACCGATGCACACAAACATCGAATATAAATTGTGTATCGATGCACTGCTACAGTGTACCGATGCACTGCTACAGTAACTTCAGCTCAAATTATATAAAACTCATAAAAATTAAAACTTTCATCACTCTACATTTACCATT